TCTCGGGGTAGAATGGGGCAATCCAAAAGTGACCAAATGAGTATCACCAACCTCTGCACTTGACAATGACGATGAGGGACCTCAGAAGTCCCTTGGGACACAGTGGTTTTCCTTAACCAGACCACATCCTAGAGCCTAGCCCAGCCCAGCTCCAGTCACAGGTTGCAAATCCAGTGACTGAGCTCTTTCCACCCGAGCCAGAGTCGAGCTCCACCAGGAGCTTCCTCCTGGGGCTGGTGAGCTCCGCTCGGCTCCTTCCTATAGTTCATCAAACAGAGTTCCAGTACCCGTGGAGTACCCTGTTTTCCAGACGAGTGGTGGACCTGCACTCCCAGCTGTCTGTGGAGATGGGCGCGGCCGTGTGAATAGCTGAAGCTTCGGGTCTGGTGCAGACCCACCACTTTCCCATCCCACATTTTTAGGGGTCATGCAAACATGCAAGAGAGGGAACCCCAGTCTTGGCTCTCATCTGACTGCAATGGACAGAGTCCCCTGTCGCCTGAATTGGCCATGCTGTAAGAAGAAAAGATACTTTCTGTGTTGAGCCACAGATTTAAGGGTGACTTATTACTACAGCATAAGCCCGTACATCCAGCAAACAGGCATCCAAAGAGGAGCTGAGGTTGCTTCTGCCCAGCAGGGGGCCTCAGAGTATTTGTTAGTTCTATTTCTCTGTATTTCACCCCAATAAATGTGGCTCAGAATTAGGGCAAATCCCATGGGGGCAAAAGGGACTCAGGGTCACTGACACTTTGTATAGGAAGATGAGGCATTTCACTTTCACCAGGGCCATTGCTGTGGTTAAACCACTTTGTCTCAGCCCTCCGCATCCAACATACCATGATGGGGACAAGACAAGTGCAATAAACACTCCCCTTGGAAAGAGAAGACAGAGAAGGCCCAAGGTGGTCATTAGACAGAGCAAATCTGAAATATGAAGGGCACAGGATGCTGGTTCCTGGCTGTTGGTTCAGTCTGTGTAGCTCTTGCTGCAGAAAGCTGAGCTCTTATAGCCTAAATCCGACTTATTTTTTCTTTTTGAGAAGATATGTTCACGCTTGAAGTATGGTAGCTTCAACAGTCAGTTTTCCACTTCCAAAAAGGAAGAGGCCCACGGGCCCCTTTCATTTTGAATGGTGTCTGTCATCTTCAGTTCAAGCTAGTAGTGCTATTACCAATACACTTCTACTAAAAATGTTATGAAGTTCCCATAAATCTTATAGAGGTTTGTTTATTCTATTTGACAAAAATCTCTTCAAGAGAGGCCTTTCTCTCCTTTGGTTGACAGTCATGATGTCACAATATACTTCAGATTTTTAACAGCCCTCCTGTCAGACACAGTTGGTCTGAGCTGCCTCATGAAGATCCTTAGAAGCCTGTCTTTTACCTGAAAGCCCTGATGAGACAACACAGTAAATCATCGCAATATCACAGCAAAATATCTCATCGCTTCACCTTGATCTTTACCATAAAGCCATTCTCTGAAAACTGTTTTTGCCTTCAGGGAAGACTGACTTGGACCTTCTATATTTCCTCTACATTCTGTTCAGACTGAACTCATTTGTTAGCTCATGTTCTATCTCCTCTCAATTTTGTCATAGGCTGCTAGAAGCTTAGAGTTTAGATTTTTTTTGTTTTTTGGGGAGGTTTTTTTTTTGGGTTTTTTTTGGGTTTTTTTTTGGTACAGGGGATCGAACTCAGGCCCTTGCACTTGCAAGGCAGGTGGCAGAACCACTGAGCCAAACGCCTGGCCCAAGAAGCTTAGAGTTTAATAGCTCTTTCTCTCCTTCATGATACATCATCTTTCCTCCACTAGTACTTTCCTCATTTTCTTCTTTCAAAAATTTTCATGCAGCCCAGCGTGGTCACACACACCTGTAATCCCACCTACACAGGAGGCTGAGGCAGGAGGATTATAAGTTCAAGGTCAGCCTAAGAAACTTAGCAAGACCTCTCGCAAAGTAAAAGAAAAGAAAACGGGTGGAGAGTGCTTCCTTGATTCAATCCTCAGTATTGCAGGGAAAAAATATGTGTGTATATATATATATGTATAAATATGTATATATAATGTATACAGAATATATACACATATATTATACCTACAAAATAGCACAGAATTTATAGAGGTACAGATTAAAGAATTTCCATAATCCAAATGACCCACATAGCTAATACATGGATGGATGGAGGAATGGAACATCATAGAAGCCCTCTCATATTCTTTTTCATCACCACTTCTGAACAGTAGTTATCCCGAGATTAAAACATCATACATTCACTTTCTGTTTTAAGTCAGGTTTGAGACATAATTTACCTATTCGTTCTTTATGACAGACACAGCCAGTTCTGTGACCCCACCATAACCAAGGTACAGAATACACGGGTCACCCCCGCAGAATGCCCCCTCCCTCCCACCATTTCCAGGTTCTTGCAGCTACTGATCTATTCTCTCCCTAGTTTTTTTTTTAACTGTCCTGTGAGAAGAATAATGCAGTATGTGTCCTTTTGAGCCTGGCCTTTGTCCTCAGCACAGTGTTTCTGAGATCCACCCACGTTGTCAAAGGGAACAGTAATCGGCTCCTTCACATTGCTGCCCAGTATTGCAATGTGCCATGATTGTTAATTAATTACCTGTTGAGGATTACATAGATTGTTTCCAAGTATTGCTGTCACAAACCTGAACACACAGGTTTTACGTGGATGAATTTCTATTTCTCTGGGAGGGAGCCTGCTGATATATAATATAAGCGCATGTTTAATGTCATAAGAAATTACCAAACTGTCTTCCAAAGTGGCTAAACCAATCTGCATGCCCAGCATCGATTAGTGAGTCTCAGGCACTCAGCATCCTCACCAGCACGTGGTGTTGTCAGGTGGCCTCTCTTCTGCACTCTGGAGGTTTCCCTGATGGCCTCTGGGAAGAGGGAGCCTCTGCATATTTCCTGTCCTCTTGCCAGTGGGCCTGCTACATGGTGCTGCATCAGTGGAGTAGCAGGTAGGCTGTTGCCAAGGGCAACAGAGCTTGCTCAGCCTCCAGCTCACTCTCCCCAGGCTGACCCTGACTCACAGCCAGGCCGGCCCACTGGTGTTTCCAGCCCCTCCCTAGTGGCTCAGACTTCTGATGGAGTTGGCATAGGATGCTGAGCACAGAATGCTTCCAGCACCTTCCCCAGGCTGGAGGGCTTTTTATCCTACCAGAAATGAATCTACATGCTTCCATGTCCTGGGAGTGACAGGATTTGTTGGCCTCTTGCTTTGTGCTTCCTCAAGCAGCTCATTGAAAAAAGGGGGAAAAAAATCTTGGCTCCTGTGCACTGGGATCAGGACAGGAGGGCGGAGCCTGGTGTTTTCCCACAACAGCAGCAGCCAATCCCCTCCTGCCCAGACCTTCCCAGGAGCCTCTCCTTTCAAGTGCTGCCACTTTCTTGAGTGGACAAAAGCCAGCCAGTGTATACATACTTTCCTGCAGACCTAGACTCAGAGGCCAGCGCACACCAGGTTTCCAATTATGAAGGCTGTCCCTTGTTCCCAAGCACTGCTGAGCAAGCTGTGGGCACAACCTTCCTCCCTACCCTGGAGGGGCAGCCCCACCATGCCCGTGGAGTTCGTGCTTCCTGGCTGCCCTGTGACCTCAGCTCCCTGGTGAGCTCAGGAAAGGGGTTGATTGTGTAGCACAGGCAGTCTTTAGTATCCGTGGATTCCACAACCACAGATTCAACCAACCACAGGTCAAAATATTTGGAAATTCCTGCATCTGTACTGAACATGTGCAGACTTTTTCTTGTCATTATTCCCTAATCAATACAATATAACAACTATTGATGTTGCATTTACACTGCATCCGGTGTTATAAGGTAGCGGTGATTGGAGTGGGTGGGAGGGTGTGCCAGCCCTGCACCGTCGTGTGTAAGGGGTGTGAGCACCCGTGGGTCCTGACACCAGACTCCCATGGACACTGAGGGGCACCTGCATAGGCATCGTCCCTCGCTGTCAGTGTGGGAGTGATACTCTGCAGCTTTCTGTACCCTAGGTGGAAGAGGAAATTCTTCTACTTAAATTCTTCCTTCCATTTTCTGCCATCTCCCTTTCCCCACCTAATGCCATGTGTTTTAGCTTGTTCTTCCTGCCAGTTTTTTATTCCTGCTATCTACTGCAGCAGAACAAGCTACACCAACATTTGGTAACTTAAAATAGATTTCTCATGGTCCCAGAGGTTGTGTGGCCTTGCCTGGAATTCCCTATGGGACCACAGTCAGTGGCCGTTGGGGGCTGAAGTCATCTGAAAGCCTGGCGGGTCTGGACATCCAAGAAGCTGCTCTCCCATGTCTGGCAGTGGTGGCCTTGTCGTAGGCATTGCATGGTGACATTTCTATCAAACTCAATTGGTTATGCAGCTCATTCGGGTTAAACATGGGAGAGAACGACACAGGGTGTGAACCCTGGATGTCGAAGGTCACTAGGGAGCTACTTGGAGACTGGCTAACGTCTGCGGAAATCTACATATAGAGAGGGACCTTTCATAGTTAGGTCCTAAACTATGAAATCAATGGAAGTAAAAAAAAAAAAAAAAAATGGCAGGATGGGAAGAGATATTTGCAACATCTAAAAGTGATAGGCAATTAATGTCTAGATATAAACTCCCACAGCATCAACTAAAAAAAGTGAACTATAAATTCTAAAAAATTGGCAAAGGGTATTAAAAAGCAATTTAAAAACAGTAAGCCCCAGATGCTAACAAGCATAGGAAGGACTCAGGATCATTAGTAATCAGGGAAAAAATGCAGAATAAATCAGCGAGCTCTCATTTTATAGCTATTAGCCCAACAGAAAAATGAAAAAGCAGACAACACCAGTGTGAGTACATGTGTGAGGGGCATGGGAAGTGAGACACCTCACACCCCGCAGGTGCAAAAGGGCTGGGCAGCCTTTCGGGATGACACCTGGGTCTATCTTGATACATACACACACGAGGGCAACTGCTGGCTTTAAATCAGTTACGCATGCAGATGAACCGTCTGGGAAACGTCCCACAGGATGTGGAGCTGGTGGAGGCGATGGCCGGTGCAGCACTCTGCTCCGTAGTTTTGCTGTGGGTGCACGTGTGTGTGTGTGCGTGTGTGTGTGTGCGCGCATGCGCGCACAAGGCCATCTGCTCATGTGCTTGGGAGGTGACAGTGGTGATGGTGACGGTGACAAGGAGTGGGAGACGGCCTGAGGGACACTGGGTGACCCTGGGAGAACAATAAACCATGGTAGATTCTCACCACGGAGCACCAAGCAGCACTTAGACTACTCAGTGCCGCAGAATGGGAAGGCAGATTGGCTGTGTTTCCCCACCAAGTGTTAGGGCTTTTGGTTGTTGCTGCTTGAGGTTTGTTTGATTTGTTTGTGTTGTGGTACTGGAGACTGAACCCCTACCTTCACACTAGCTACTTCCCCAGTCCTTTTTAGAAATTGTTTTTTTATTCTGAGACAGAATCTCACTAAGTTAGCCAAGCTGGACTCACACTTACCATGCTCCTCCTCAGCCACCCAAACTGTTGGATCACAGGTGTGCCCCGCTTAACTATTGTTTTGTAAGAAACAAAATGCCGTATGTAATGTAATACTACTCACATAAATTTTTAAAATACAAATAGACAAAACAACAACACCTCTTGCAATAACATACACAAACGAAAGTAAACATTAACACATTAGAAATGATGTTACTGAAGGGAAAAGAAGAAACTCCAAAATGTTAGAGGACTTATATTACCTGACTCTAAGGCTTACTACAAAGCTACACTAACCAAGAGAATGTAGTATTGATGTCAAGATGAATAAACAGATCCGTAAAACAGAAGAGAGAACCCAGAAATAAATACCCACACATATGACATCAAATGGGTTTTTTAAAATTTTTTTGAAAAGTTTTTTTATTTCTTTTTTTTTTTGGTTTTTTTGAGACAGGGTCTCACTGTATAGTTGAGAGTCAAGCCAGGCGTGGTGGCACACGCCTGTAATCCCAGCACTCAGGAGGCTGAGGCAGGAGTATCACTGTGAGTTCGAGACCAGCCTGGACTACATAGTGAGTGCCAGGTCAGACTCAACTACATAGTGAGACTCTGTCTCAAAAAAACCAAACCAAAACAAAACAAAACAAAAAAGAGAGGCAAACTCTTAATTTTTAATAAGCAGGAAACTCAAAGAGGCAATTCACTAAAAAATATATGACAACTACGCACATGAAAAGATGCTCAACAGCATTCAACATTAAGAAAACTCAAAACCCCAAGGAGATACTGCACTGCACCAGGTAGAATGGCTAAAATGAAAAAGCTTGGGCTGGAGATTTAGCTCAGTGGTTCCGCTGCCTACCTCACAAGTACAAGGTCCTGAGTTTGATCCCTGGTACCAAAAGAAAGAAAAAAGCTGACTACACCAAGTGTTGAAAATGTAGCACTGGAACTCACACACTACAGGTGGGAATGTAAAACCAACTGTATGCCATGGCCCATACCTATAATACCAGCACCCTGGGAGGCTGAGGCAGGAGGATCCAAAATTTAAACCCTGCCTGGGAAATTTAGCAACTCAGGGAGGCCTCGTCTCAAAATAGAGAATAAAATAAACCTGGGGCTAGAACTCAGGTGAAGGACTTGGATTCGATCTCCAGTACTAAATAAATAAATAAGATATAACTATTTGTGGCCATTTCCTAAATGTTATAAGTATGCACCTGCCATTTGATCCAGACGTTTCTAATATCAACTCAAGAAAACTGAAAGAGGAGGGCGTGGTGGCACACGCCTGTAATCCCAGCACTCGGGAGGCTGAGGCAGGAGGATTGCTGTGAGTTCCAGACCAGCCTGGACTACATAGTGAGTTGCAGGTCAGTTTCAACTACACAGTGAGACCCTGACTCAAAAAAAAACAGAAAAAGGAAAACTGAAAGAGTAGGCAGGTAGTTAAACCCTAGCAGTCCTGAAGCACAGAGGGGGTGAGTTGGGGTGGGGGACCAAAGTACCACACTGTGCCAGTTATAGTTAAATGAAGAAACAAAGACCTCAGTGCATAATGCATTTATAATCATTTATTAGGTCTCTATCTGAAGCACAAGGCCTCTATTTCTAGAACATGCCATACAGTATTTCTGGTTGCCATGGCCTATGGCCCAGTGTTATCTGAAAAGGAACCGTTCTTTACCTTGGGCTGAGATCTGATTTCATTCAAATTTATCTTTCCTAAATGTCTTATGTGATTAAAGGCCCTGAGGGAACACCGACCATCTAAAACAGACAGATATTTTGCAGTTCCAAAGTAACTTTTAAGAAAAATGTCAATAAGAATTATAATTACCCCCCAAATCCCTGAGCCCCAGGAGAAACTCTTAAATGTCTTTGTGACATTCTCCACCTTCTGACCTGAAAGTCTAACTCTCTCTGGATCTGCTTTACAATAAACTCTACCTTTATTCCTGCATGGTCATCTATGCGCTGGACTGAATTCCTTCTTCAGTGGCGCAAAAAACTTAGAACCGGAAGAAGAGGGGCCAGTGTTCCCAGCATCTGGGTCTAGCTTCCCTGGTGACAAAAACGAGCCCCCACACAGTCCTGTACATGGATACTTCTAAAGCTTTATTTATATAACTTCAAGAAGCAGCGGTCAAGAATGTCCATCCACAGTGAACTGCTGAACAACCTGTGGTACTATCCATACAAATTAATACTAGTAAATACATTATTCTTAGCAATAGAAACGGCACTATTGATACTGCAGCCATGGACAAACCTCCAAATACACCGAATGATCCTACAAAATGTCAACTGCTCTGAAATAACTCAGAGCAGATCCCGGGTTGCCTGGAGGGGAACCTAGGGAGGAAGAGATTACCAAGTGACAAGGAGCCTTTTAGGGTTGATGGATATGTTCATAATCTTGGCCGTGGTGAATGGTTTCACGGGGAAAACATGTCAAATTGCACTTTAAATAATTTACTGTACGTCAGTTATACCTGAATGCTTTTTTAAAAGAAAAGATCCTGTAGTGTGGTGCCCAGAGTTCACTAGCGGGGAAGCGGCCGGGCAGAAGCGCACATCGGCAGCCCCCAGCACGGTACAGCCCGGCTCCCGCGCGCAGGGCGGCTCTGGGTGCGGACGAAAGTGCTGG